AAAGGGTCCCTTCCTATTGGGTGTGAAGGCTGTCATTGCAGAATCATACGAGCGCATTCATCGTTCCAACCTTGTCGGCATGGGCATTATTCCACTGCAGTTCTTGCCTGGCCAAAGCGCTGAGACACTTAACTTGAACGGTCGTGAGGTCTACAACATTGCTCTACCCGAAACCGGATTGAAGCCAGGCCAGAAGATTCAAGTCGAAGTATGTAGAGAACTTAATGGCTTTAGAAAATTTATTTAATTTGCATACTTTTCAGGCTGATGGAACTGTGTTTGAGACTATACTGCGATTCGACACGGAGGTGGATATTACCTACTACCAGAACGGCGGCATCCTCAACTATATGATTCGCAAGATGCTTTCTTAAATCACCCCTCTTATTATTTGCTTATTCCACTTGCATTTTTAAAATTGTACATTGTAGTCTCCTAAGTTTTTAATGTGTGCTGGTGCTTATCCTAATTAATGGTCCAACCAATTAAATTAAGCCTACTTCTCATTCAACTCATTTCCGAATAATAATATGGCTCTTTGAAGGTAAATAAACAGATTTATTATATTCGTTTTGCTTTTTCCTCTACACTACTGAATTGTTGATAAATAAGATAGGCAAGTACACCAAATCTACAAGTATCCCTTATCTAGCGACCATGAGCTTGAATGCAATGTCATCTGTCTACAGCAATTATTACTTCATAGATTCATAACAAATATAAAGCAAAATTTCTAATCAGCTAGTACGTAATCACTGAACCCCTACTCAATAATGCTGAGTAACATACACTAGATTATAAGTGTATATGTATTTTATTGTTCATTCACGTAAAGAATTTGAATGATTATAAAATTCCAACGATTGGTTTAACTATGTAGCTGTAATATCCGATTAAAGGGAATTGTAGAATCATTTTTAAGATAGCAAAATATGTACACAGAAAAAACAGCATGATATAATATTTTATACACCCACCCGTTCAGCTGCCGTTTATCCACAATTATTCGATATCAAAGTCATTTTTCATATACATATAAGTATGACTAGATTCAGTTTTGGATTTTATTAATTTTTGCATTTATAAGTTTCCGGGTCCAAAGGGCATTCTAAACTGAGTGTCCAATGCATAGATATTATGGTTATATTATCATACCTAATTGCAGACGTCTAAAACCAATGTAACTGATTAAATGCGAACAGATTATGCGCAACGAACAAATTGCCTAACTGTCTAACGATATCACGCATAAAATGAAAACCACGTTTTAACAATCCTAACCATAACCATGACAAATACTGCAAATCATTCTATCTATTTACGTAATATGTATACAATTTAACTTAATCAATAGAACTAGATTTCAAGTTCACATTTTGTAGGTTGGGATCGCATTGACCATTGAACACATATGAAATTCACGTTTCACAGTGCCAAAAATGTATAAATTCTTGGTTTGTACTTTATTACAATGCATGCTAAGACTACATTAATATGTTTTGTTTTTGTTTTTGGCTTTCAAAAACACACATCGAAAAAGTGCCGTAACACGGCGCCCCGTTGTGAGTGAAAGAACACAATGAGGTAAGTACTAGTGTAAGAATGTCCAGATTGGCTTTATAAAAGTATTATTGTAACATTATTATCAACATCATCATCAATTACATATCTTAGAGTAATAATGTACAAGACTGCTATATATATATGTATACATGTGCTCTATGAATTTTTGTTTATCATCTTCATCAACTTTGTCTTGCCTCTGGTAGTATGTATAACGTAAAAAATCACTATAGCAAAAATCTACACTTTAAGCTACAACACTTTGGGTATTTTTAAGTTAAATTGCATTAGTTATGTACGTAAACATTGCAGAGCGTAACAAATTTGTTTTCAACTAATTATAACTTACATATCAACGCCCAAACAATAATCATAATTGTTAAGAATTTAGCTAATTAACCTGTGCTTTTTACTATTCATCTCGTCAGATATTTACAAAGGTGAAGCAGAGAGCATTGCGCTCCAGCTGGCTCAGTAACAAATCTCTGGTGGTTCCTCAGTACGTTGCGTAAATGCAGATGCGATTTGATTTGGTTTTTCTTTAGATTTGTGCGTCCCGTTTGTTACCAGCGTATTTGATGCTTGTATTGCTCGTCTATCGCGATGCGTTTGATGGTCTCATATCCAAGAATAATGCTGAATGAGAAGGCCGCCGACTGCACTAGGCGTGCGGACAGGCCCTTGAAGAAGCAGTTCAGTTTTTCCTCGTGCCACAATTCGCGGAAAGCAACACTCATGGAGTCTAGGCGATGAACCTGCAAGATAGCCGCGATTAGCGACATGTACAATACTTAATAATTTCAAAGACTTACCTGAAGGCGTGCTCGCACTATGTCCAATGGATTTGTTAGTATTGTGGTTGTAAAGCCACCCAAACTGCCAGCCACACATTGGATGAAAAGATGAGACACCCAAACGGGGCATATCCGACACAGTTCGTCTAGAATTACATTTTTGATCAAAAAATCGATATAGTACATATTTAATTAATGTGGAAAAGCAATCCAACATACCCTGATATAAATGATAAAACGCCCACCACATCGCAGAGTTAGGCACATAGGCCATGAGGCTGGCAGTGTACCCCCTGTAAAAGCCACGGAACCCATCACGTCGCAATATTTCACGCCCTATATCCATAGATATATTAAGGCGGCTGCGTCCAGGCCACGTTTTAATACCTAGTGGGTTAATATCGGACTTTGATCCAGCATGCGCCGACATTCCCAGGACCATGGCGTGCTGTGATATTACGTCGAAAGGAACTATAATGGTCTGGCCAACAAGCGATGCACATCCACCACCAGCTAAAGCCTTGAGACGGTGGCCAGCGCCCAAATCAGTGAGTATATGGCGCACACCCTCGTAGGTGCTGATGTAAAAAACGCCGGATACGATTTGCACTGATGAGATCCAGAAACCACGGTACAGACCAGGCACTCCCTCAGATCGATAAATTTTCATGGCACAATCAATCATGCCTTTGTATATATCGCTCTTGTGCTGCACCTGTAGCTGGGTCTTGATTACCGTCAACGGGAATAGGCAGCATCGCACCGAAAAAGAGCTCAGCATAGAAAGTGGAAAGAACTTGGTCTTGTTCATCATGTCCCATTCGATGGTCCGTATGTAGGCACCCTCCTTTCCGCTAGTCCTGCTAGGGCCGGCAAGATCGCCGCTGGCTTCCATAGTCACGCCGGTGCTTTCCGACATTTTGTTAGCTGTATTTGGAACAGCTGTCGGAGACCGTGTGCTGGGCAACCTGCGCTTGTTGCATGCGTTTCCAGTACCAAGTGAAGCGAACGAGACACTCGTATGACGAAATCAACTAAACCGTTTCCGAATCTTTGTTTACAGCATCATTATCCGTCGTTGAGAATTACCGACCGACCGGGCACGCATCAAGTATGGTATGCTTTCCTATGTGCAATGTGGATGTGGATATAGGACTTTCTGAAATGGAAAATATAACATTATGTTATATACATATGTATTTACGTTGACGCAATTGAAAGGCGACTGCACGAAATAATTTTGTTCCCAAGGTGAACGTTCCGATGCAAGCATATATATATCCATTGTCTTGTTTTTTGACATTGTGCCCCTGGTTTTAAATATTGTTATTGTTCACTTGACATTAGGGTCTTTCGGATTACCTGGACCCATATGTTTACAGATTTGTTTTTAATTATATAATGCGGCCAGACACAACCAACCACACCACCTGACTGAATGACCGCGTCATCACCACTGTTATCAATTTTGACCCCTGCCAGTGCGTAGTCGGTGAATTTATAATTTGATTTTTCTCAACACAGATATGGCTTACTTCCGCAGTAGTCCAATGTCAAGTCTACTTGCGTATATTAATATTTGTTGATGATTGAGACACCTACACTTGCACCCACCCTGTTCAATTATTTCAGTTGATGTTGTTTTCATATCGGCCAATCGATATTTGAAACGGAAACATCATTGTTCAATCATGAGCTGGTTTTTTTTTACTTCACAGATCATATTGACTTACTTGTGTCGAGGAGATACAAAATTTATTCAATTACATACCAAAGAGATTAAAAGACAGTTTAAAACAAACATTTTTAATAATTTAGTGTATCGATATGTAGATATACATCGATATGTTGACAGCAATACCGCAGGTATTTATTTTCACACTAGAGCGATGTTTGTGTGTACACACTGGTCTAAATGCGCGGCATTTTAAAAATAAAAAATTAACCCCCTTTTACTGAACGGAACATATCAAATAAGTGTATATATCGTAAATATTTATTTAATAATACTTTATGTAACATCTTATGTGTGATGGTATTTTATTTATGGTGATCAAATGCGTATATACATATTAAATTATATTTTCGGCTTGAGTTTACACTTGCATTTGAAACACATATTATTATTTTTTTTTTTTTCAATCCATAAAAATAATGCGTCCTGATTGGGTGCTGGAGATATTGGCTGCGCACCAATTGCAGTCATGGTGGGCGTTTTGCGTCTGCGCATTTTGTCACAGCATCCTAACCTGGCTATTCAACCCTTAATGACCATCACATAAATCTCTATGAACGTTGGCCGTGTGGTAAGGATTTCTGCACACAGTCGCCACGGTTACTTCATAACCGTTACACGGTATTAACGGAATGCGCCGATCGCTAACTGTAACAAGTGAATGCCATGAAGTGATTAATAATTAAAAATTATTGATGCACGGAAATAAGGTGAAATCCTATTAATGAAATTCTGCATGGCAAAAAACATCCAAGTTTAAGAGTGCATCCGTTTAAAGTTCATATAAGAAAAAGTTATACAGAACAGTTACATGGATACAGCTAAACTGGTAAGGACAACAAGGACCTGAAATAAAGTCGAAAAGTCCTTTCGCATTTAAAAAACGATCGATAGTTTGATTTTAAGTACTTAAAGCTTTATTTCATTCAGACACACTTTTACACTTTTACTTATATAACAAGTCTTATCCATAACTAAGCGTATATCCCATATTCTCCATGAGCGTCTCCTTAATCGCCGGCTGAAGAGCTCGCTGCATGTAAGTAGTAAGCAAGCCTCGCACGCCCATCGAAAAGAGCTTCTCCAGCTCATTGGTCATTGCATCACTCACGAAGTCCTCGTTGGCGTTGATGCCACTGCTACCACTAAATATATCAGCAAATGCACGGGCGTCTGGTTCAACCATCTGCTGCAGCTGCTCGTCTTCAAAATGCAGAACGTCTTCATTGAAATGGATTTCATCGGAGAAATCAACATTGCGACGACGCCGTCGGCGACGCTTCCCCAACTGTCGCCGACGGTAGAAGTTATCGCCGTTCACATCAAAGAACTCATTTGAGTTACCAAATTCCTCATTGCTTCCAAAGGTCAGACTCTGATCTCGTTGGGTGGTTTGCTCCAGTCGAATATCGTAATCCGGTTTATGATACTTGCCAGCGCTACCCAAAATAACTTGTGGTTCGCCCAGCTCGACCTGTGGTGCAGCGCCCTCACCGTAACCGAACCGTCGCTTTGAATTTTGCCGTAGTCTAATGCCAGTCGGTCCTTGGCAGCCATGGGCAAATACGGAAATGAAGCCAGGCTCCGCAAAATGCGAGTCTGTGCGTACGGAGGCGGCGCCTATTCTGCGCGACTGCTCATACGAGGGTCCCGATGCAGCGGGACTCAACGGAACTGTGCGGAACTCGATTCCGGCATGCCTCATTCGCAATATCATATTACAACGTCCGCCGGCGGGCTGCATAACTATCCTCCCGCTGAGTGTCAAATCTGGAAAAATGAGACGCGTATCCAAAGTGGAGTTCTCGGTGCTGAACTTGCACTTGTCAATCTCCACCCAGCGCGAAGAGGCCTTCGCTGGCGGCACCCGTACCTTAAGATCCTCCACCTCCACTCGCGATATGGCCAATTTGTGTGGTTGCCGATGCTGATAATGTGGTTGCTGCTGCTGCTGCTGGTGTTGTTTTTGTTGGTGGGATGAAAGCAGCTCCTCAAGTTCTAAAGCACTATTGCTAATGCCACTGTCAGATGTGTCGCCAAATTGATAAGGACGTCCAGTGCGTCGAATACGCTTGGCATAATAGCCACGCCCATAGTTCATGCTGCCCCCCACATTGTAGAAATCGTCCTCGGGCTCGCTTTGCTGGCCGTAGAAGCTGTTATATAACTGATAGGGAGACAAGGACTGCTCCCACATGGAGCGCGAGCGAGCTCGAGAAGAGCCCTTAGTTTGAGCGCTGCGGCGGCGCATATGCTCGAGCGCGTTTTCCAGACGATTCGAACAGCGATGCGGCGCTTGGTAAGACTGACTGACAGCAGCTGTAATCACGCTTGAGAGTCAGCTAGACGTTCAATGGAATCGATTCTGGCACTCAGCCACTCACCTTGCAGGAGTGCGCCAAGTAAGAATAGGCATATGAAACTATTCCCTCTGCTCAAGCAGTCTGATCCTGATACTGGCATGATGCTAATCTCTCGCAGCACATTGAAGTGTTGTATGGGATGAATATGTTAAGTAGACGCGGAAGAGACACCACCTGGTCTGGTCCACAGTTGAATCGAAAATGGGCTCTCAGCTCTGGCAAAGCATGCGAGACCGAGAAACTCGCTCGGTCGCGCTTCCATACACACACACACACACACGCAGACACACACAGCCGCAGACGCAGCAGCACCCACAAGAAGTTCACGACGACTGCGAGAAAGACAACGCCGAAGTCGTGTCACTGCCTCATCATGTGCAGTGAAAGTGTTTTCCACGACAAGCGCCAGGCACAGCGACGCACACGAGCGTGGAAAAAACGCCGCACACAAAGCCAAAAAGAAAAGCATTGTCTTCTACCGCTGCTGCCGCCACTGCCGCTGCTGCTGCAAAGTAGATCAAAGTGGCTTACAAACTCAAAGCAAATACGACGTCAGCGCTGCGTTTCGTAATGCCAGTTGCGGGCGCGCATGCGTCGTAATATTAGCCACCCGCACTCAAATTGTTTGAGTAAAGTTCAGAGTTGATCAATTCAGCAAACAGGTCACTTAGGTGCTCGCAATTGCCTTTTTAGCTAATTGAATGCACCATTATCAACAAATTTTGTTTTATTACAAGATATGGCCTATGCGTTGACATTAACTTTGAAACGTCGTTTAATTTCGACATTTACCAACACATTCACATTACATCTAAAGACAAAAACAAAGACAACGATTAGTTTCGATAATTCTTGCATTTGCACTGGCTGCGTGCCGGGTGGCAACGCTTCGCCGGCTCGGCTTGACGGTTACGGTAAATTATGTCGGTAATTTGATTTAACAAATTGTCTGTGTGCAGTTATTAAATTCAGCACGACGTCTTTACCAGCTGCAGACATATTTTGCAATTTATAAATTGCTAACCATTTCCTATATAATACATTCCTATATAAATACATTCATACATAAATATATTTCTTTGCCAATTGCAAAATGTAATGCCATATTTCAGGTTTAATCTACCAAAATTTACATAACCTTTAGCTCTATTTTCTACGAAAATATCCGGGGAGAAAGCTGCACGCTGCACGTTCTCTGTGCCTTCTAGCTGAGAAACTTGCCGCTTTCTGCGTTTCCGCATGAAGTCAAAGACACTGCAGCTTGGGCAAGCCAAACTGCGGGTATACATATACATATGGGTATGTACATCTAGGTTTGCACGTATGTTTGTAATTTGGTGCAAAGACTTACATATGTATGTCTGTATGCTACAAATTATTCTCAAATGCAACGATGCGCAACGCTTGCCGTGCTCCAGTTTTCCAAGTGTCAAGTGCCAATACAGCCTGCAATAGAAAACCGAAAAGCAAACAAAACCCAATTGCCAATTGTCAATTGCCAATTGCAAATTGACTCGAAAGCCAACAGAAATGTCAGATCAACGCATTATTTGCCGGCAACATCATTGGATCTTGCTGACGAGCTGCTAGAAAGTGAAATGCTGTTGCCAGCGGTAATGAGCGGAGAGAGTGGCAGATGCCACCGCCCCATAAACTCGGCTGACCTCCTCAGTTCAGGCAGCTCATTAAGTGTAAAAGTGTCAATAAACCGCAGGCTTTCATTGTCTTTCTCATATGTTGTGCTATTCTATTCACACTATGAGTGGCTCTGCCCCACAATCACTCCCAATCCCAACGGCACTTCCAATTCCAATTGCAATCCCAGTTCCAGTTAGTTGTATACTTTGACGAAGCTCATTACTTAATGACACGGCCATAAGCACAACAAAAGACAATCGACACCCGGACAGACAGACTGATAGACAGACAACCGGGCAGCCAAGCAAGGCCGGAGCTAGAAGCTGTTAAGCTAATTGCCACAAACTTCTTCACACTTGAGTATGTCAATGTGACGAACACTTTGTTTTCATTCTGTTTGTAGCGGTATCTGCAACTGTAATTGAAACTGTTCGCCGTGACCGTAACTCTAGCCGTAACCTGTTGTGTGCCGGACCAGCGTCCCGGGCAGCGGCCCAGCAGGTGGCTTTAAAGTCACTTAAAGCCCGACCAGCAACCCCGAAAACAAAATCACAATTTGGCAATTCATTTGCCAAAATCGAAGAAACTCATAATAACTTCCTGCTGCGTCTTGGTTCATTTCCTCCTTTGGCAGGCCGACTACAGCGAGGCCAAGTCGCATCTTGAGCAGCTACAGCAGACGCTGACGAACCTGGATCATCACCACCATCCCCACTCCCACTCGCATCCACATCACCATGGGCTGTACCACACGGTGCCAAATACATCGACTATAACCACAGATTCGGTGGTTTCCTGTGTCACCTCGACATTGCCGGCTGTCGGCAAGGCCACATCCTCGTCCTCCTCGGCCTCCAGTTGCGAAAACTCTGAAACGGAACGCAAGAAATGCCACAGTCACACTCACAGCGACATGGACGTGAGCCACACTCTTATGGAAGCCATCTGCACTCTTCCCTTGCCCACGCATGGCCAAAGGTCGCCGCCCTGCTGCCTGGCGATGGCCGGAAATGGGACGCCACCTGCTGGAGCTCTAATGAATGGCCTGGCCAGCAACGCCAACGGAAGCGCCACATCCTTATGCAATGGTGACTTAACATGGAGCGCGCGACTCCTGTAAGACTCTCTACTGACCAATGTCCATCATCCAAGCAGATCTCGTGCGCGAATCGTCCTGGTATGCGCATCACCACCATCACCATCACCACCACCAGTTGACGGACGAGCTGGTCATGTACACTGCACCAGCGCCGACGGCGGCAGCGGCAGCTGCCATTGGCAAGTTCGGCCTGGACACATCCACAGAGGGTTACTTGAACGCAAGGTACAATGGTAAGCGTCCTCGGCCACCCGGATGCAGCTCCATGGCCAGAGCATCGACGACCTCTTGTTTGCCTTTGCTATTTACACGTTTTGTTTATTAACTCCTATTATGAGTTTTCTGATACACTCGGGCAGAGCCTTCACATCGGGGATGAGGCATGAGCTGCCCTCTGCTGAGCCTGAGCTTACTTCAGCCCGGAGGCTTTTGTTTTATATTGTTTAACTTTTCACTTTATTAAGAAAATATATGGTGGACTGATTTAACCTGAAGACATTTTCATTCGCTTGAGCGTTGCTTAAAAATTACAAAATATATAAACGGAAGGGATTGGATTTTAAAAAAGAGCAGCTTTACAGGGGGAAGTAGACTCCCATTCAAAATATATTTGACTTGTTAAATTCGAAAGTTTATTTTGAAAAATTCTTTACATATTATAAAATCAATGCTATAAAAGGATTTACTGAATCCTTATTTTATTATAATTATATTAAATTTTTTATATAATTTACAGACTAAATATTTAACGTTTTTATACGCTTTAATAAAACGTATTAGTATTGTGTCCTATTTATGCTTGTTTATTATTTATATAACATATTTTATGTTCATTATTTTCATTGAATATGTTTTTATAAGAATATCGCTCTCACACCCTATAGACTGCATAATCCCCATTTACGGCTCACAAACAGATGAATCATTTTTGGTAAGGGTAAGAGTAAATTAACTGTCCAATATATTAGGGCTATCTCAAAAATATTGGAATGTAAATCTTGGATTGTCTGAATGAGTTTCAAGCCCTTTAAATAGTAGTAATAGTAATCGGCAAAATCCTAAGAGCTAATTAGACGAGATTACCCATAACAATATATTCGAATTTTCAAGGCTCTTCTGGTGAGAAAACAAGCTTGTTTTCTGTATAGCTATTACAAGAGCTTCGCGGCTCTATTATCAGCTTCCTTTACTACCGCTAACTGGTTTATCATTCACTGTTTACTTGCTGTACTCTAAACAGTTAAGATATTTATTATTATAGTGGAGTTGCATGTGCGTTCACAGTATGGCAAACGGATATAAATATGAAAAATAAGTAATTCATATCAATTATAATTTTGATTATTAAATTTTAAGAATTTTACCGTATTAGGATATAGTGGAATAGCTTTTATCTTGTTTTTATTTCTAAACAAAATGAAACAATTGTAAATATGTTTTGGTAAAAAATATATAAATTTATTATTTAATTCAATTTGTGTTAATTATATAAAAAAAAAAAGTTCAAGATTAAAGCATTTTTCATTTTTATTTTATTTTTGTTCATAATTAACATGGAAATTTAAAACTATTTTCATAATCTATAACTTTAAGGGACTATGCCACGTTGGTTCAAATTTATTTATTTATTATTGTTGTGGGTTACAATTTTGGCCACTATTTTGTACCAAGTGTATTCCCATGACTGTCTACTTAGGAGCTCTGGGCATGTGCATGTGACAAGCTCGATTTGCAGACTCAAAGATATCCCGGTGCGAGCCGTAATGTGAAATATTATCTAACAAAAGTCAAGCTACCTAAAATTCACTACAGAAAATCACATTAAAAATGTTTCTTTTGCTTGTGCTTGTGCTCCCACCTGTCCGATGCCGCTCTGGATCTGCAGTGAATGTCAAAGGCGTGCGCCATGAAAGAACATCAAGTTTCTTCGACATACCCGCTGTGACCCACCCGCACCCGCACCCGCACTCTCATCCGCATCCACACGCCCATCCGCATCCCTATTGCTACAGGTAAGTGGAAGTGGAACTGGCAGGTGGAGACTGACAAGACAAGCCAACAGATTGCAGCTGGGAGAGAAGGCGACTTTAAGTCAATCAACTTTTTGTGTAATTTTCAATATTTTCTCATATTTTCTGTAACGCCGCCTCCAGGTTTCCACCATCGCCACCTGCGGGCATCTTAAAGAAGAGCGACGAAGGTAAGCAAATGAGAATTTGAGAATCAGAAAAGAATTATTAAGGCATGCGTTCATCATTTATTTAAATTAAGCCCAGCTACGTGCACTCTGAGCGCCTGAGCTACACATCGAGACATATAGCTATCAAATGTGCTGCCAATAACTCAATTTGTTTTTCTACAAGATGACTTCAATATGTATTTATTATAATTTTTTCTCTTTTGAGCGAAACGCAAGAAATCGCGCGCATAATTTACAATAACAATATCCGCGGTGTTAGTAACCGCTAATCCAATTGGTGGCACGGGCATGAAATTCAATTTGATAGCAACTCAGCAGCTCGGCAATGCGATGCTCTTAGTTGGCCTCCGGCTGCTTGGGGCGATGGGTCTGCTTGGGGTGGGTGGGGTGCTTGGGTTGCAGTCAAACAAGCGACTCAATCACCAGCCGTTGAGTGGATTGAGTTGAGCATACATACTTGCTGCCCGGGGCGGGGGTAAGCATGAGGGTGGGCGCTGCACCACTGGGAACTGGAAAATCCGTGCTCTGCCAGTACGTTTTGGCAGCCAACAGGTTTGCCAGCTCGTCCCGCTGCTCGTTTGTTGTGCTATCGACAATGATGTTTTTACTTGTCGACACTTTCTCATGGATTATGCAGAGGTATCTCGTGCATTTTTAATGCGCCCAGCGTCGAGTCGCGTTGCCTGCTGGATCTGATTTTGAGCTACGGCCAAGGAGCTCCGACCAGGAGCGTCTAATGAAAACGGCATTAAGTGAGCCCGATGGGCGGGGGTAACTCTGCTTCTGTTGTTTGCCCTTAAATTGCAGCATATTGGCCATTTACAATGCCTGGAGAGGGTTGCCTAAATAATTAATGTGTGCTAAATACCTTGGCCATTCAGTGAAACAAGCAAATGTGCTCGCCGAAAGCAAAGTCTATTTACATATACTCTCTACATGCTCTATTATTATTTATTATTAATTAGTCTAGTCATATTTTACATTACATTGTACATTTTTGTTTTAACAACAAAGCTCTGAATACGTCCAACAGCTATGTCTCATTTGGTTAGGCAATGCTTTTGGGAGTTCCATAACAATTGCTACGTACAAATCTAAAATCTTTTATTTTACAAAGACTCAGAAAGAAGCATACATTAAATTAACAGTCCTATTTTAGATTTCTAGCTCCAATACATTTGAAGATATAGCATTATTTTATAGAATAGCGTTTCTGAGATAATGTATACAGTATTTCGCGTTTGTCTCATCCCTACAAGCGGCAAAATGTTAACTTCATTCTTACCTTTGTGCACTGCTCATGGTTTTGCTTTACGTAAATTCTTATTATTTATTTATTTATTTATTAACTGTGAGAAACAAAATATATTTAAATACATTTATATATTAAACTTGAGGCTTTGAGTTATTATTGATTTGATTTGTAATATGCTCAAATTTAACTTAAATTGATTCAATGAAATCGAGCAAAAAATAAATATGTATTTATAAAGATTGTGATTTAAATTATTATTATTTTTTTTATTTTTTATTTAATGTATTTAATTTATATTCCGGTTATTCTATTATCTATTCCGGTTGATATTTAATATTCTAAGAATTGAGCAAAACATGATTAATTTTAAAATAATTATACATATAATGAGCAGAGTAATTAAAAAATGTTAGATACTCTTTGCAAAAAGAGTATAAATATATTTACAACGTAATTAGTACTCACTCCTCACTCTTAAACTCCTTGGTTAAACGTGCGTGAAAGCGGCTTTCATTTGGCTCTCTCAACTCCTCTGCCCATCTCTCGTTTTAGACGCAGCCGCCGCTGCCGCTGCCGCCGCCGCTGCGGCAGCTGCCGTATACTGCAACGATGTATCTGTTGGTCAGCACTTTCATCAGCACAACACCAAGATCGAGCACGCCGACTCCACAACGACAGCCGCTGCTGCACAGCACCATCAGCAGCAGCAACAACAGCAGCAGCAACAACAACAGCAACAACAGCAGCAACAGCAGCACCAACAACAGCAGCAGCAGCAACAACATCAGGATTCACTGCATCCACATAGCCAGAGCCATCAACAGTCGCAGAATACACATCAGCAGGGACATGCACACCTGACCCAGGTGCATGCTGCCTCCGCCTTCAAATTTAGCCACACGGCGGTCATATCCAGCTCTGCTGTCTACGCAGCAGCACCGCACTATAACCACCAGCAGCAGCCGCAGAACCACTCGCATGCCACAGTGTATCGCGATATTTCACCCAGCTTAGCCACCGGTAGCGAGACGGATCTTAAGTACGAGAGTGGTCCGTATAATGCCACTATATCATCAACCTATCCGCCACCGTTGCGCCCCGCTGTAGTTGACTCCACGACCTCGAGCGACGCGGAGCTTCGTCTAGATCAGTTCTATGCCAGCAATTCAATATCCACCAGCAGCAACGGGCAGACCATTAGCCAGCGTCGTGGCTCGCTTCAATTATGGCAGTTTCTAGTAGCCCTTTTGGATGAGCCCGCGACTAGGTAAGTGTGGAGGAGATTGACATACCCTGTGCTTTCACCTCATTTGCCGTACTTTCAGCTCCAGTTGCATTGCGTGGACAGGACGTGGCATGGAGTTTAAGCTCATCGAGCCGGAGGAGGTGGCACGCCGTTGGGGCATTCAAAAGAACAGACCGGCTATGAACTACGACAAGCTGTCGCGTAGCCTGCGCTATTACTATGAGAAGGGCATAATGCAGAAGGTCAATGGTGAACGGTATGTCTATCGCTTCGTCTGTGATCCCGATGCGCTCTTCAACATGGCCTATGGCCACCTCACAAGCAAGCAGGCAGATCAGCAGCATCAGTTGGCCTTGTCGCTGGCCAAATCGTCGCCGGAGTCGCATTCGCATTCGCAACCACTTCGCGTGCAGAAATCGACGGCTGTGGATTACTATGACAGTGGCTTGCATAAGTATCAGTAGGTGGAGTGTGGGAACACCATTGTATGGGTGTAGCCACATCTCATGTACATTATGTAATTTATTTTCGTGTAGGTGTGTGTATATATATGTGTGTGTGTGTGAGGGAACACGCTACATTACAATACAACTCGGTTTGGTTAATGAATGGATTATACAAAGTTAGTAATGGTGCAATTTAATAAAAGCTAGTGTTGGCAGACAAGTGATGATCGGAGATGTGCCAATCGCTAGACCAGCACAAGCAATCGAGATCTATCGATCACAGCCAACCAGCAGTTAGCTTCAAATTTAAAAGTCATACGATGGGGCAAGTCATTTTTATTGTGTTATATTTGGTTATTAGATGGCTAGCGTTAGATGTATAGCTCATCTAAGCGAGGCCTTATCAGCAGTATATACACACATACATCAAATAACATTCATACATACAAACCAAAGTGTCTACCACAAAATATAATCGATTTGAGGTTCAGGTGGCGAATTTAAATAAAGTATATACCGTTTTTGTTCGTTACACAAAACGCAGCCCCATTATTCTTCCTTCCTTTTCTTTTTGGGTACAGATATCTCTTCCGACTCCGAGTTGCTGCTGGAACTATTATCAACGCTACTGCTGTCGGTGTCAAGTTTCCGTTTTTCTGGCGACTTCTTGGCGATTTTTTCCACATAGCTCTTTAGCTTGTCTGGCTGCGGACTGTAGGCCCAGTGTATCAGCTCTAAGTGTATTTCAGTGGGAGCGCCTGTATCTTTGTCGAACAGCTTTGCACCTTCGCTCTTAATCTTCTCCAGCAATTTAGCTATCTTCCGATTGCGTACTATATCCCAGCTCGTTGTGTCGTTTTTGGGATACATCGTACGAAGATGCTTATAGTTTCCCTTCGCTTTAGATCCCCCATAAGCCGCAAGGAACTCGGCCGCGAGTTTATCTTCCGGCTCAGGCAATTTGGTTATCAATGAATGTGCCAGATACGCTCGATTGTCCTTGATCCGGTTCTCTGTTTCGAATTTTTCAAGGAACTCTTCAAGCACTTGCACGCCTTCCTTGATAGAATTAATTTTATCCTCATTCTTGGTGCCGGAGAGCACTCGCTTCGAGCTGCCAATCAGGCCTTTGATTGCTAGTCTTTGGTAATCTGGGTCACGCTCTTCCAAAATACTACAATTAAAATGTATCGATACATTAATTTAACACGCATATGTGAATATAAATATTTCTATAGCCAGACTGTGGAATGCGTCTCGCGTAGCGTGCCAAATGCTTTGCACATCTATACACACAGAGAGAGCGACAGTCAGAGAGGGAAGTCAGTAGGCGGTCTCTCAGCCAAATTATTAGACTTCCGAAAGAGGGAGCGTTCACATCAAACACTAAAACTGTGATATGACATCATAGTGGCCGCAAAGTCAAAGTCCCGCTGGCGATGATGACCTTCAGCTAATTCTTATTAGTATGCATAGTGAATGACATCTACCTGAGAGTTGCCAGTGCTGCTGCCTTGTCCTTAAAGCCCAGGCCAGGCACGGTCTCCACCTTGTCGTCGCCATCGGTCTTTGCATTCTTGTTAGAGGAACCGCCTCCGTTCTCCTCCAGCCATTTCTCAAACACACCAATAGCATCGTTTATGTTCTTCACCTTATCTGCTGCCTTTGTCACTGCTCAGGGAAATCGATATGGATAAGAATGGTCGTAAATAGAAATGGATTCGTTTGAATCTTACTCGTTAAGACGCGTTTGGCACGTCCCAGTAAGCCCCGCACGGTCAGCTTGCGGTACTGCATGTCATGGCTCTCCAACAACTTCAGCGTCTCCAACGCCTTCTCCATGTCCTTGAACCCAAACTTCGATTCGCCCTCGGACATTGTTGCTACTCAATTTGGTTAATTTCAATTTCGACAGAAAACTAGCGTCTGCAATCCACCAAAGACGAACTACGACTGAACGCTGATATCTGTTCGCCTGCATGAAAGCTTTAAGGCGAAGCTGAAGCGGAAATGTATCGAAAGAGAGCGTGCGAGTGCCTCAGAGATTGGGTGAGCATTAAATGGGACAGCCAATTAGATAACCGTGGCCAAAATAACCAAGTGACATTATCAGCGCTCAATTAGGAACCGGTTTGTTGTCGTACCACCGTAGCAAAACAAAAGCGAGAAAAGACCCCGCCATGACGTCATGGCTGCCAGATGCCGATTATTCCACATAATCGCATTTAGACGATAGTTTTCGGGTGACCAGATTCAAATAGCTATATAACGAGCTCGACTTTATCCGAATATGGAATATTTCAGTGACAATAATATGTTCACAATAAAAATATTTTATTTTAATCAAATATAATTTTTATGCTAACCTAACAATAACTAATAATAAAAACTACATTAAAATCACTTAATGTTTAATGAGTGTCTTTTATTATATTTATTTTTATTAACAGATTTACTAAACTTTGTTTGCTTTACATGGATTCTATAAAAATATTTAACACAAATCGAATCTTTTATATCATCACTAATATATGAGAATATTTCGAAAATTTAGTTGGCTTAACACTAGACTTAATTCACTAGGCATATAATATACAGTCACTCAAGCAACATTGTGATTGCTTAAAAGAATAAAAATAATATACATACATACATATAATCATTAGGTCACCCGAAGATTGATATTCTTGCACAAACATAAACTAGACATTTACATTTTCTTTGTATAATTTAAGACAAAACGAATTGAAGGATTGGAGATTGAATAGATTAACGAAATTATAAGCCAATGCGTCTGATAACCGGTACATTATAATGTCGCAATCGGCCGACTCAGATTTCTATAGCAAAAAACTGTTATAGAAACGATCGGTCGTATATATAAAATTTATATTGTCTTGCTATCGAAAGTGTAATTTAAATAATAATATTAACTTGATAATAAAAGGTATGATGCTTTGAGCCAAAAATAGCAGTTAACCTATTTAGGTTAACCAGATTGCACTAAGAATGGTTTAGTATCCGCAAGGATATTCTATCTCCGGCAATCCGAAGTCGTTTAGTCTTCATAGTTACTAAGCCTGAAATTCTATCTCTTTCTATAATATAATTAGACATTAATATATGGTTATGGATTATCAAAACTAGTGTACTTACATTATAAATCTAGTCTGGCTCTTTTTTCAAGTATTTCCAATTCCATCATTTCGATTCGTAGCTTTCCCTCTTGAACTTCTTGGTCCAGCCTTATCTTCTCTTTGAGCATTTCGTGATTATGTTTTTCCTGCGCGCGTTGGTTTTCACTTTTATAAAATTCTTGCTGAAGCAGCACTAGCTTAATCTTCTCCTCATCCAAGCTGCGCAGTGTTCTTGGATTCATGCTCGGCCAGTCGGAGCTCATATTTGCTCTGACATCTTTATGTTCGATCCGATTGCGGATCTGAAAAAAGCATAATTTCTTAATTCATGCACGTCCAAAATTATCTTCGCTTACGTCGTGTGTATCCGTGGAACTTCCAAACATTTCATCGTCTCCTTCGAAATTGATATCATTTGGCACATTGGCTATAAGAGAATTGCAGAAATTAATATATTTAGAGAATTTTACCCAATTTAGATAATAAATATGTATATATGTACTCACACGAGTCGCTGTCGAATTGTTTGCCCAAGCCTGCAGTTGATTCACCCATTAAAGCAATATACTTTCCTGTGCCACTGCGAAGGCTGTGATTCTTGTCGTCCCCCAGTTCGAGTTTGGACCTTCGTTTCATGTTTATAAACTTATCCCGTAACGCCTTCCATTCTCGGCGTATGCCTGTTCTGGTATAAAAGGTGTCTGCCATTTCCTCCCAGGCCTGCTCCTTCTGCTTCCACGTAGCCGCATCCGACTTTTTGTTTTCCAATATATTCTTTCTTTCATCGAGGAGTTCCATGAGCACTTGTTCCTCCTCCGCCGTAAAATTTTTGCCTCTTTTTTTCTTTTCCTCACTCGACATATTTCAATTTTTCCAACACAATACCAAAATAAACAAACTCAGCTGTATTTAGTAATTAGAGTGACCAGTCTGTGCAATCCGTCGACCAGAGATGCCAACTTAGCTTAATAGCGGTTTAGGCAGCGGGAAATAAGAAAATGGAACAAAGCTGAGCATAGAAATAACGAACGACTTGCCATTCGAGCTTTTAATAACGACTGTGGTTCAACCTATTAAAAGTAATACAAATAAATGAGTTTTAACTGCAATTTGTGGAGTTCAGGGATATAGTACTCTTGATTCGTAACATTGCTAAGATTATGGGAAAAAATAAAAATTTGGAAAACTTACTCAAAAACCCGCTCAGGTCGTTCACACGTATTCACGAGATGTGTGCAGCAAATATTGAAGAGCTCGGAAAAGAAAAACAGATCCTGAAGCAGGAGTTATTTCCAAGGGATAAAGCTGATCGATCACAGTTTGCCAGAAACACGTAGAGTCTTTAATGATAAGTATGAAATACTTCAATCTTTCTTATAAATGCTCAAAATGATGTCAAACTATTGCAGTCAGTTTAAGTGTCATTTACAGAGAATCTTACAGCAGTATAATTCGCCCAGTCCCTCAGCAAAGTTCACTAAGGCTTTTTTAATGACTGAAGTAGCCAGCAAGCAGCCCTTACTTAAATCCGATTTAAAATCTTTGGGGTATCTCGATTAAAAGCGGGACCCATTTGGAAATTTAATTATGTCATAAAATGCCATTATTCTAGAATGGGACGCATTAGACATCCAAATTATCTAAAGTCTGATCATATCAAAGACAGCAAGAATTAAAGTTTTGAACAACAAAGGGGGCTCCATTTAAAATTAATTTATGGTCTAAACAAATTTTCAATTTAATTTTTTCTAGTTCTAAGATGCAAATTATGAATTTGTCTCGGCAATTTATTTCGTTTAAAATGATCGGCTCAATTGTTAGGGCATGTACACACACATACAAAATATAATTTGACCTACTCAGACATTAGTTTAGTTTTTAAAGTAATTACAAATTTATGGGCTTTTCCCCCTCGTGACTATGTTATATATAATTATCATTATATATATATTGTCATTCATGAGCTCTAGGGCGTGTAAGCAATGTAAAACCCCAACTCTGTAATATTCAAAATAAACTGTTCCATATAAAAATTAATGAGAAAATAAAATCTATTTATAATCGATTCATAAATAGCTCTGTATTTAAAAAACATTACTTCTTTCTTCTACCCCTAATCAGAAACGGATATTTTTCCGAATTTACACAATCATAAACAAATGAAGCAAGTGTTATAAGAACAAGTTGTTTATTGGGTTTTTCGTTTTCTTCTTACCATATGTATAAATGATATATCGATTGTATTGCAGAAATCATAGGACATTTACATGCAAGTTTAACAAATGCATTTGAGTATATATGCATGCATATAAATACAAGTGTTTAGTTATCTTACATATTTCTTTGTTTGTATTTTTTGACAGAAAGGTAAGCTGAGATTTTAATGGAGAACTAAGGTTAGTTGCAGCTGCGTCGGATTTCGAGTACGTCGTCCAGCATGAAATTGCGTAAATGGCACAGCGCCTGCACCACATTTTCTCGGTCACGTACATCGGGGCCGAGCCAGTGCTCCGGCAGTTTCGTATTGCCCACCTGGTTGGGATGCACGTGGGTTAGTGACCGTCGCCAATTGTTGTTGCAGGCACTGACACTCAAATGGCTGCCCGTCTGCAGGCTCTCAATGTACTTAATATACGCCTCGGAATGGATGACACGATTGGCACGGGGTGGCACAGTAACGAACATAGGCTCTGGAGGCGGTCCCGCAACAATGGTCTGCATTTGGTGTTGTTGTTGCTGTTGTTGTTGTTGTTGCTGTTGCTGCTGCTGCTGCTGTTGCAGGTGCAATTGGTGCTGCTGTTGCTGCAATATCTCCGCGTTGAGCGGCGCCCGCGGTGACATGACATTGCTGGATGGCATCGTTAAAGGTAATTGCGGTTGATTCTTCTGCTTGCGCGGTATAAAGTTCTTGCTTCGTTCTGCGATGCTAAGCGGCTTGCCACATTTGCTCAGATGCACCTCGCGCACATGCTTGACGAGACGCAGCACATTGGGGAACGCTTGTATCGACTTGCGAATGCGAGGACAATTGCGCCACAGACAGACGTACTCCATTTCGACTCCCGCTTGCGGATGCCGATTTATGTGCCCGGTGCCATCCGACAGGCAATGCTCGGTGCAGTCGGCCATTTCCTCGAACTGAAAGTCACATTTGTCCCACTGACACTCGTAGGTCAGCGGTGGACTAGCTTCCTGGCTACTCATAGAGTGCTGAGGCAATGGACTGCCGCAGTTTTGGTTATCGTCAAGCTCGCGACGCATGGCGGCCTCTTCGTTCAGCTTGTTGGCGCGATCCTCCCAGCTTTGTTTGACGCTGGCTGGCAGACTCTTCCACTCGTTGCCCACCAAGCGCGAAATGTCACCAAATGTGGCATCCGGATTGCTCTGACTTATACCTGTAAATGGGAGCAAAACTGTTTATATAGAGGAACTACTAATAGATCCAGTCGGTACTTACCCTTTCGCACATCACTGGAGTAGAGAATATAGCCGGTGAGGCTCTTCTTGGTCGTTTTGACTTTTGCTTTAGAGGTAAGCGGCGTGGAGTTGATCGACGGTGCTGGGGACGATATTGCCACTATATCCGAGCTCAGGGACGGTGTGTCGCCATCCATGGAGTCTTCTAGCATGGCCAGCTCGTTCAACTCGGTTTTAACATCCTTCGTCGGTTTTATAGGCGTTTTAAAGTAGAAGATCTCATCCTCTGTAACCTCTGCGCTGTGCTGGAACTTGCGCAGGTTGCCAACTACCAGATTCCGCAGAGCCTTTTTCAGCTCATCGTAGACAGACTCGCATATGTACACATCGCTCTCAGCGATTTCGGTTGGCCGGGAGCTAATGAACTCGGCGTACTCCAGCACAGCGCATCGGCCCACGATGCTGATAACAGGACTCATGTCCTCAACAGTGCTGAGAAGCAGCTCCTGGCGGTAGAACTGCTTGCCCAAAGCCGGCGTTGTTTCGCTGGGCGACAGCAGCCATGGTCCCTTGAAGTACGACTTGCCATTTATCTCCCAGATTTGCTGGACTTGGGCAACAGACTGCTTGCCGCTCTGCGTGGCCACATATACGTAGTCCCCGGTCTTGATGACCCCGCTGCAAATGGTGTTGTACTGCTGATAGTAGACGCTGTTGTCCTGTGCATTTGGTGGCGCGTCACAGGTTACATTGGGCTTCTCCTTTTCGATTAGGACCTCCTGCATCTTAAGCTCTTCCAGTTCACCCTTGTGCTTCTCGATCCGTTCCTTGAATACGGACATCACACGCTTCAGCTCCAATGGCGTTTCGCGCGGCACAAATCTCACCGAGGTATTCGTGCTCTCGCGCGACGTTGGCCAATTCTTGAGCTTCTTGAAGCAGCGTCCCTGCAGGTTGTAGCGTGACTCACAGACAAACACGTCCTTTTCGGGCAAGCCATCCGGGCGTAGCTTAATATAGTCCCTGATATGCATGACGTAGCACATGCCCAACACCTTGTCCATGGATATGGTCTGCGAGATGCTGCTCTTGAATACCTCTTTCTCGAGGAACTTGCGAGTCGTGACGTGATAGGTCTCATGGGGTCGCAGAAAGATTGAGGCCTGCATCAGCTTCTCATTGGTCGGGGTAGTCCACAGCCGCTCGATGCATGCAATGCTGGGAATCTTATTGTCAGGCATCTGCACGTATACGTAGTCGCCAGGCGAGTAGACCTGCTGGTTGATTGTCATGCTTTCGCCTTTGGCGCTTGCATTGAAGTCCTCCTTCTCTTGCTCCTGGTCCTGCTCCTCTTGCATCAGTTTTTGTAGCCGCATTACCTCCACATCTGCAAGCAATTTGTCCACTGTGAATGCGAGCGCCGGCGAACTCAACGTGTCCTTGCACAGCTCATCTCGCTTTCGTATGAAATACGTTTGGAGCTCGATGGAGTCCTGGAAGACGTCCGAATCAGTGCGCGACAATTTACGCGCCCGATCCAAGCAGGCAAATACATCCTCTTGGTATACGTCCAAACGCTTATACGCGCCTTTGTCAAGGCGCCTCTTGATCAGATCCAGAGAGATTCCGCGTACCTTTGCGCCCTCGCCCAATTCATCGTACTCGGGCAGCTCAGCCAAAGAGTCCGAGTAGCAGCGTCCCTCCTCATCCTGATGGTTGTAGACCGTCGAGAAGAGAGTTAAAAACAGCTCCTGAACAGCCAACTGAACATCGGGCAGTGCATCGCGCTCAGTGCGCAATTGCTGCTTCAGCTGCAGCGTCAACTGCTGCAACACCAATGCATCCTTGTAGATCTGCGAGTCGGGCTCATTGTATTTGCAGGCATTCTCGAGCATAAGGAGAAAATCAGCGGCGATTTCGTCCACGCTTTCGTATGCAGCCTGCTTCAGTTTTTGGGCGATCCGCTCCATGTCCATGGGATCCTTTATGATGTCATAATATTCCGGATAGTCGCTCTTGGACGGCAGCTTTGTAAAAATCAGCGACAATTGCCGCTTGCCTTTCGGCTCTTGATAGTCTCGCAGCGTTTCATAGAACTGCCAGAGACGCTCGCGGTCAGCTAGCAGCGCTGCCTTTGGCTTCCTTCCCAGCTTATATTTCTGAAGTGGTCTCTTGACCTCAACCAGACCAGGAAATTCCTTGAGCTTTTCATTCAAGGCACGCTCTAGAGTATTGGCATCCTCGTATATATTGGAGCCCTCCTCGTTGTACTGTCGGCAATTGGAGAACATGAGCCGATAGTCAGAAACGACATCCTCAACAGTGGCATAGCGATCGGCCCGTATATTGTGCTCAATGGTGTTCATGTCGATGGGATTCTGTATTATGTCATAGTAATCCGGATATACCTTGCGCGGCGGCTTCTCCATAAACATCTCGATTGGCCGTCGGTTGCCCACTGTATAGTCCACCAAGTATTTTTGGATGCTGAGAATTTTCTTTTTGATGACCGCGTTTATAGCAATGCGATTCGCTTTCGGTGAGTTTGAGTTATTTGACGTGAGAGCCGTGCTGGAACTTGAATTGACGCGTGGTCTGCCCGGTTTGCGTTTCTCTGGCTGCACGCTGGTCGTGAATGTTTCATCAGTTTCATCTTCGTCCATGTCGCTGGTTTCCTCCAGTGACTCCTCGACCAGCTTTGCATTCATAAGTTTCTGCATTTTTAGAGCATCCTTGTGCGTGCGGTGCGTGACTGGAAATGCCTTCTTGGCATTGTCCAGCATCAAGTACAGGTCACCCGTGAGATCACTTATATTCGCATAGTCGCCCTTCTTCAGCTTTGTGTGAATTTGACTCATGGAAATGGGGCGTTTGATTAACTCAAAATACTCCGGATGAAAGCGGCGTACTGGCAGTTTCCACAAAGAGTTGCCTAGCGGCGGGCCGGTGACACCCGGATGCTCCGAGGTGCCAGGAGCATTGTACAAATGATCAAATAATGCCCACATGGGACCCTCGCCTTTCTTGCTGGTCTCCTCGTCGTCAGAGCTATCCAGTTCTTCTTTCAGCGCTATAATATAGAAGATATAGTTTCTTTGACATTATTTATTGATTTGCCCAACATACCTGATATAGCAGCACTTGACAAGCTTTTTAGGCGTCGGACTGGCTTGACCTTGCCCATCTCCAGCTCTAGACGTCGCTGCGTAAATATGCGCTTCAAGGCTTTTGCGTCCTTGTAGATCTGCGATCCGGGCTCATTGAAGAGGCACGCATTCTTGGTCATTTGCAGCAGATCACGCTCCATTTCCACCAAAGAGGAGTAGGCGTTCATTTGTATCTTGGTAGCGATCAGGCGTAAGTCAATGGGATGCTCGATGACATCATAGTAGTCCGGATAAATTTTCTTGGACGGCAGCAGCTGGAACATGCGATGCATAGCCCTGTCGCCAATCGGATCAGTAGCCGTCATGATAGATGCGAAAAGCTCTTCATACTGATTGTATTCCTCTTCAGTGTCCCCAGCACCTGGCTCAGTGCTACTCGTCAGCCGACGCGCATTCCGAGGTGCACGCTTAGCACGTGGTTCCTCCTCCGCGAAGCCATTCGCTTCCATAATGCGCTGTCGATGCGACTGTATGTGCTGCCACAGAGCCACTGCGTCCTGAAACTCGGGCGAGTCAGGCTTATAGAATGCCTTGGCATTACTTATCAGCAATTCCAGGTCATTCATCATGTCGTACAGATCGTCGTAAGAATCTGTTTTCAGTTTTTGTTGTACTTTTAGCAAATCGATGGGGTTTACCACCACGTCATAATAGGAGGGCTCCTGACGACGTTTAGGAGCTCTTATGAAGGTATCACACAGCATTGATCCATCTTCCTTCTTAATGTTGCGTATCGCGTCGTACAGCTGTTGGCACAGCTCTGTTGGGTCTAAGCGCCGCTTTTTTCGCGCCGTTTGTGTCTGCTGAACCGGTGACTGTTCTGGCGTCGAGTCGTCAAGCAACAATGGATCTTCGTCTTGCCGACTTGATATTGAGCTAGCACGACGCTTACGGCTCAACATATTTATGAAAATAGTGCAGCTCTAATTTAAAAATAAGAAATTTATGCGACAACGACGCCACCGGAAAAATTAGTGATGTCCACTATATAATGAAATGCAACTATCGCAAGACGTTTTTGCAGCCCTGGAATATATCGATTGCAGTTTACTCAAGAATTTGGAGGCATGCCAACTTGCCTTAAATACGATACGATTTTGTTACCTGTAGTACAGTTATTTAAACATTCAAACTTTAACGAAAATTTGTGAGGGGCCAAACAATATTCATTTAAACGATAGAAATAAAATAAAAAAAATCTATTATAAAAATCAATTTATTCTATTTATATTAAGATCACAGTAATTAAATAGTTTCCAACAGTCGAAATCGAGCCTTGAACGTTAGGCTAGTAAGAATAGAGCCGTCAAACTGAAAGAAATAAAGCTTGGAATTAATTTTGAGTCTCAGAGAGAATGATGGCAAAATGCTGGGTATGCGAAATAAAAAAGCCATTCGAGTTTAATTTTATACTATTTTTATTTAAATTTTATCACATAACTTTTAGATGAAATTTGTTTTGTTTATTTGATTGGTTTTAGTATGCAATAAAAATGATGAAAAGCGCATCCCAATGTACGCCATATAAGGAACATTATTGTTAAAATACATATACATATATATTATTATAAATTATTCGATTATGATTAAAATGACAATGAGACGCAAGCGTAAATTATTTTGCTTCAAATTAGTACATGTACGAAAATTACTAAATAAATATTTATGAAATGGGGTGTCCATGCGAACGCACCGACGTTGACTATAGACTCAGACTAATAAAATTTTCAAAAACGCCTACAATTTAGCCTAAACCTATTCTGTTGACAGCAGTTTATGTTGTACACGAAGATTGTATATAAAATTAATGGATGTCTGATGTTCACATATGTGAATATCGTAGGTATGTGTGTGTGGTGTGGATGGGTGTACGCGCATTAACGGGGAACACAAAATTGAAATGCGGCACGTACACCTCTGGGGACCCTATTAACTACAACAATTAAGCACAACGATAAACAGCGCCACATTTAAATATCAATATCAGTTCTGTATAAAGTGTATTATATTCATGCTGGAAGGTTCACCTCCACATTTCTCATCTCATCTCTCTCAACAGTCCATCTGGTTTGCCTGGCGACTAGCGGTGGTATTATTGCGATTACTCTTACGACTCAGATCGTAGTAATTGGCATATAAACTAGTTAGACTCTTCAGGGGCGACTCAACAAAGCGCCTGAGCAGCTGGTCAGCGTAGCGCTGGCGCTGCCAGTACGAGCTCTTGTTGCGCCGCCGTCTTAAATATCAGTTGATGAAGCTCATGTAGTTAGTAAAGAGCACATAGTTCTCCACTAACCGTGCACGGAGCTCGCGTCGCACCGTCGCCGTAAACTTATTGGCCAGGCAGAGTGCAGTCGTTGTGCCGAACACGAGATTGTACAGCAGGACAATTTGAAAGTTGCCCAGCCACTCGATGGCACCAAAGTCCCCCAGCAAATCGAAATTGGTAATGCCTAAAACGAAATAAACATTATACATTAGCGAAAGCACAAATGTCAAGTATCCCAGGGCTCAATCAATACCTATGATTCTGCTTAGCAGCGGCAGTGCCGAGGACAATACGAGCATGAAGCCGCAATTTAACATCAGCTGCGGCAGCGACGTTTGGCGGCGTTTTGGGCGCACGTTGCTCATAAAGGGCATGCTATAGAAGCCGACCACAGAGGTGGCACCTAGGTAGAAAATTAGGCACACCTCCATACCGGCGCCAACAGGTCCAAGTTTTGAAAGCGACGAAATGCCCAAAGTGAATTGCTAAAAGGAAAGTTGAAATATAATCAATTTTATATAAAGTTAAATTGCAAATAGAAGCCTTACCCTTGTGCTGAGCGGCAGCGCCTTGATGCCTATGAGCAGCTCCAATGTGTTCTGCACCACCAGGAGTATTGTGACGGCCGTGCAGAAGAGCAGCAGCAGCATGGCYAGCGGATAGACGAAAGTGCGCTGAAAGGTGCTCGACTTGCGCAGCTTGTCCAACTCCTTGCGCTCGCTGTCCAGCTCCCTCAGTCTTTCGTTCAGCATCTGATGCTCGTCGACATTCCCGGCAAGCGTTTTGCGCTGATACAAATGCGCCAGAGAATGGTGCAGCAGCGGCTGCGGCAGATAGCTCGGTGGACGACCGATGCCATTGGTCTTGGGCAGACGAGACCCGTTCGTCGCATCCAAAATGCTCACATTGTGCAGCTCAATGTTGGCGAGCTTGCGTTTTACGCTCGCTTCCTCCATGTAGAATGCGCTGAACTCCTCGTTCACGTCTCTCAGCAGCATGGGTCGCACCAGCACCTGGTTGACAACGCCAAAGAGCCGCACAAATCCGTACGGCGTGCAAACTGTAAATCGTAGTAAGCGGGGCGAAATATAACAAAACGTTAGTTCGTTTCCAAGGCGTCGAAACAAGCAAACAGCAAACAAATAAACAAACTAAAATTACAGCTGCCGGCAAGCGCTGAACGAGGAGAAATATTTTATTCTCAATACAAGTTTCAATATTCACAGTCACAAAATGGAGCAACAGCTGCAGCAGGACCGCGATGACTTTGCTGATTTCGAGCAGACTCTGCAGAAGATCGACCAAATCTTAAAGGGCGAGCCCGAAACAGACGATGATCCGCCCAAAGCGAAGACGGCTGAGGACTTTGAACACATCGATGTGGATAAAGTGAAGTTGAAGGTGCGCGAGGATCGCACTGTGATCAATAAGCGGAGCGCAGAGCCGGCCTCGCCCTATACCCCGGATCAGCAGGGCTTCATGAGGGAGGTGGAACGCGATGCCAATGAACGTGCCCAGGCACGTGCCAAGCGTGAATATGAGGCGGAACTACAGCGCAGGCAAGTAATTGGATATTAAATGTGCAATAAAAGCTATCTAATGTGCTCTCAGTCATGGAAACGAGGCGTTTCGCAATGGCAACTTTGAGAAGGCTATTTTGCACTACAGTAAGGCAATAGAACGCGTCAAGAATAGCGCAATCACCTACAACAATCGAGCCCTGTGCTTCATCAGGTGAGTCATTCCCTTGAATAAGTGCATGTGAATTGAGTGTTTGACTAAATCTGATTCGCAGGCTCCGCAATTACAAGCGTGCCATCGATGACTGTCAATATGTGTTAGACAAGCTGCAGGAGTCTAATCTGCGCGCCTGGCTGTACAAGGCCACCGCCCACAAGCGACAGAACGATGCCGAACTGTTCGAGGAGTGTGTGAATCAGGCACGCTTGCACAATCCCCAGCAGCTGGCGTACATCGACAAATTCATCGGCCAGATAGATGACAAAATATAATGAGATTAGTTAAATGTATTGTACTTACTCAGCATAAGCATTACGCCCAGAAATGAGACACATGAATAAAGGAACGGCAGGTGAACACTGCCCAAATCTGTGAAGCGTAAAAAGCGGAAATTAGCAATGCATTTACATCCAGATGCCATCTACATGTGGTGGGTGCAGTCCGCTGGGCGATCAAGCGGCACTGTTTCCGCTTTAATCAGCTCTCGCTCCTACTTACTTAGAAACCAAAAGAACTGGAACTTTTCAATGCCAAACACTGCACTCAGTACGGCGGTCAGCACGAGCACAATGATGGCCATTAGAACGAAAACTATGAACGTCTCGTAGACTCGGGCCAGGATGCCCTTCTTGTGGCCCACGAAGCCCGTCGACTCGGAGAACAAATAGACAAAGGGCAGAAAGATGAACAGCGACAGATTCGAGAAGAGAAACACATGATTCCACAAACCTGCAACGAAAGCACAATGACATTATATTCAAAAGAGTTCTCGTAGTTTCTATAACACTCTCTACTTACCCTGTATTAGGGAGCTGTTCAACCACTTCACGTAGTAGCTGTTGGGGTACAGTAGCAGCACCTCGTTGCTTGCTATGGAAACGGGCAGCAGCATAGCCGCACCCTCGGCCACGGCCAACGTGAAGGTGCACAACCAAAAGCTGCAAAGGATATCGTCAGCTGAATACGCATCGCTTGCATTACAATTCGAGTTGGACGTGGCTGACACGCCCGCCCTCTATATGACAACAATAAATTACCTTATGCGATAGACCAGAACTTCGTCCTCGTCGTTTGAGTAGAGATCGTCGCGATCGCGTCGTCTGAAGCGAGAGACAACCACATAGGAGCTAAAGTACAGCAATATGATGAGCAGCAAAAATATCTGCAAGAGAATAAAGTATGCGATTTAATATAAGGTAAATAAACATGGCAGTGAAATCGTACAAGAAGAGATATTTCACTGTTTTCAAAACTATAATACGACTTTTAAAAAATATATTGTGGATTTCTATTGTAATGGAATATGGAAACTATGCCATACTTTTATAATCATATATGTAATATAAACACAGGTATTGAAATTAATTGTTGCATTTAGCGTTCGATGTGTTATTTTTGACACATTCTAAATCGTGAACATAACAAATATGTTTATATTTATTTATGATATATGAGCAATTCTCTAGTGGCGAATGTGACATTCGTACGTGTTTGAATTTAAAAAAAACGAATGCCAAAATATATTTTTATTTTGACGATTAGTGAATCTTTTAGCTCTTGATTAGCTCTATAATTAGTGCTAAATCTGATTTTAGGCAAATGTTAGTTTTCAAGATAATCACAAAAAACCAAGAGGTTCGCAGGCTACATAAAATTTAATTCGCTTTTCAAATAAACAGTTCATCCTGAGATTTTAGCGAAACCTTAAGTGAAATTGGCACATCTTTAAAATGTTTTTTATTTGATTCAAAAATATTGAGTAGTTTTTTTTATTTTTTAGTTTTAGTCAGGGTCGAAGGTGACGTGTCGAATAAGACAATTTTTTACCCCATACATTTATTATTTTTTAAAATTTTTTAGTAATTGCATCGAACCTTTTATATTTTTCTTTTACTCTTTAAGCATACACGAATATTTGAAAAATAATATTTCATTGCGTAGTGTCTCTCTTTAAGAACAGTAATAAAAACAAAATGTGCAACATAAATGCTCAAAACAGAACTTTGGCACTTGTTCGGCTGTGTGTGTCAATATTTCGAGATGTGTTAAGAATAAATGCAAAATTAGTTTATGTTAGTTAAATTTAAATTAATTTTAATTATTTTACATCGATTAGTTATAAAAAAAAATTTTATCAGAATATGCATTCATTGAATTTGCACTTTGTGGCTGTGGTTGACCTTTCTGGAGATATGCCCATATATATATTTGTATAGGTCATATATATTTAACATATTTTCTCACTTCCCTATATTATTATTTCAAGGCTGTAAATACTAAATAATATAATTGTTAAAATTAAACAATGATAAAGGAAATTATATATTCAGATTGACAATTGAAAAATAATTGAGAAATTATTTTAGAAGCATTAGACGCCTTTAGAAGCCTTTTAAAAATATTTAAAATAATACAAAGTTGAAACAGTTCAAATTTAAGTAATTATGAACAAATAATATAAATTCAAATTTGTTTACATAAAAGAATTTTTATTTATCAAATAGAAATTCCAGCCGGGGAGGCATATTCATGCTTTTGTATACAACCCAATTATCAATATAAACAAAAATTTAATCCAACAAGAGGCAAAATTGTGATCAAAGGTCAAAATAGATATTTCTTATCGGCAGCTGTCGACAAGACGGCAGTTGTATTGATAAGGATTAGATTGAATGAAATGAAAGCGTGGCAATAAAGCATTAGGGTTATATAGATAAAGCTTTGATTAATTACGAGAGTAATGCAATAGCTGTAATAATATTAATATAGTTAATATAATTATTAATTATTAGTCAAATTAATTTAGCAATTATTATGGCGAATGTAGAATATATTCTTGTATTACAAATTTTATCAAAAGATGCTTTTTAATTACCTATCACTAAATGCAGTCATCAGCTATCTAGCTGCTAAACTTACTTAAATTAATATTATATAGACAATATTTTTGGGATCAAAGACGGTAAGCAGTGAGTCAACTTTAAAAACTGTAGCATATATAATTTTCATGATTGTCAAGCCATAAATAACAGTTGTACTTATGTAACCTTGACCTTCACTATTAGACGATCTTGATATATACAATCGTATTATCTATAATAAGTTCCAAGTTTAGTTGTAGGTGTTGTAAAATATTTAGCAATACTATAGGACTTGATGAATATCATCTATCTAATTCATAATGTCATTAGTCGCTTTGTATTTATACGATCAGAAGCAGAAGCTTTGAATGAAAGCAAAATGTTTCTTCAATATAAGCAATATATTCCTCAATTAAATGAAAGTAAAAGTGAATTCGGAGCACATGGGAAATACTTATGCCTATATACACACACATACATATTTGTATAAGATAGTTACCAATGATTGGTACTTTTCAAAAATAACYAACTTTGAATATATACTAATATAGATATAA